CTCTTTTTTTTTTTTTTTTACCATTACAGCAGATGGTTGTCACTTTATTTTTATTCAAATCAAATAATTTGCGCATGAGCAGAACTGCCAAGTAACTAGAAGAATATTTACAAAAACAGTAAAAGTTTCGAATGAAACGAGGAAAAAATATAAAAGAAAAAGTAAATGATTTAAAATAAAATGAAAATCAACAAGCTTCTATTCTGGTAAACCAATTGATTTCCTTACTGTAGCACAAAGTTGAAAGGTTTTTATGAAATATTCAACAAACAATTAAATAATTGTTTACTTTTAAGATTGATTTTTAAGAAATAATAATTGAATGTTAAATTGAAATTTAAACATCATAAAGCTAATTTTCCTCCAGCAAAACAGTAATGAAAACATCATTTTATTTGCACAATGAATGCATGAAATAATACAATTTACAACTTTTATAAAGAGTTAACATTTAGGCTGCATGGAGCTAAACTGTTTGAAATTAAGAAATGCATGTTTTAAATCTGGAACCTGGGTGACTAAGGAAGGACTTTTTTTGTGCAAAAATGTTAAATTTTGTATTTATTATTTTTCAATGTAGTTGCATGGGAGATATTAAAATGTATCTTCTAAGAGATTTGGTTTTAATCAGCAACGGCTTCAAACCTGTTTCAGCTGATCTGAAGCCTGCTCTGGAGGAGACATGAGAAGGTTGCTTCTTTAGATGGGGTGCTTCCTGCAGCCAAACTCAGATGTTGCAGATTGTCTCTGTGAAAATACTGGGAAATATTTTACCACTGGCTGCTGAACAATGAAAGATAATGCTTTTGCCTGTGTGTTTGTCTGATAGCAAAAAAAGACCATAAACCACCTGAGAGATTTTTTTTACAATTTTTTCATAAACTAATCACTGGATGGGCATCTACAACTGATGAAACTTTAGCAAACACAAACTATCTGACCATTTAGTTTTACCAATATTGAGCTGAAATCTTGTGAGGTGGTTGCTATAACTGATCCCTTCGAGTGTTAACTGATCTCATGAATAACATTTTCAAGGCTTGACCAAACACCTCCACTATTGACAAACGACCTCAGTCTAAAACTCTAGCATATAGAATAGACTTTTATTGTATTTGCACCTAATACAATGAAATAAGTATTTGGACACCCTGCGACTTTGCAAGTTCTCCCACTTAGAAATCATGGAGGAGTCTGACATTTTCATCTTAGGTGCATGTCCACTGTGAGAGATGTAATCTAAAAAAATTGTTTTAAATAAATCACAATGTATGATTTTTTAAATAATTTATTTGTTTGTTACTGCTGCAAATAAGTATTTGAACACCTGTGAAATTCAATGTTAATATTTGGTACAGTAGCCTTTGTTTGCAGTTACAGAGGTCAAAGGTTTCCTGTAGTTTGTCACCAGGTCTGCACACACTGCAGCAGAGATTTTGGCCCATTCCTCCACACACATCTTCTCTAGATCAACCAGGTTTCTGGGCTGTCGCTGACAGAGAAACACAGAGTTGGAGCTCCCTCCAAAGATTGTCTATAGGGGTTAGGTCTGGAGACTGGCTAGGCCACTCCAGAACCTTGATATGCTTCTTACGGAGCCACTCCATTGTTCTCCTGGCTGTGTGCTTTGGGTCATTGTCATGTTGGAAGACCCAGCCATGACCCATCTTCAATGCTCTAACTGAGGGAAGGAGGTTGTTCTCCAAAATCTCACAAGACATGGCCCCGGTCGTCCTCTCCTTAATACAGTGCAGTCATCCTGTCCCATGTGCAGACCCCCCCCCCCCCCCCAAAAAAAAGCATTATGCTTCCACCCCCATGCTTCGCAGTAGGGATGGTGTTTTTGGGATGGTGCTCATCATTCTTCGTCCTCCAAACACAGTGAGTGGAATTAAGACCAAAAATTTCTATCTTGGTCTCATCTGACCACAGAACTTTCTCTCATGACTCCTCTGGATCATCCAAATGGTCATGGGCAAACTTAAGACGGTTCTGGACGTGTGCTGATTTAAACAGGGGAACCTTCTGTGCCATGCATGATTTTAAACTATGACGTCTTAGTGTATTACCCACAGTAACCTTGGAAACAGTGGTGCCAGCTCTCTTCAGGTCATTGAGCAGCTCCTCCCGTGTAGTTCTGGGCTGATTCCTCACCTTTCTTAGGATCACTGATACTTCACAAGGTGAGATCTTGCATGGAGCCCCAGTCCGAGGGAGATTGACAGTCATGTTTAGCTTCTTCCATTTTATAATAATTGCTCCAACAGTTGATCTTTTTTTTCACCAAGCTGCTTGGCAATTGCCCCGTAGCCCTTTCCAGCCTTGTGGAGGTCTACAATTTTGTCTCGTGTCTTTGGACAGCTCTTTGTTCTTAGCCATGTTAGTAGTTGGAGTCTTACTGATTGTGTGGGGTGGACAGGTGTCTTTATGCAGCTAACCACCTCAAACAGGTGTTTCTAATTTAGAATAATAAGTGGAGTGGAGGTGGAGTTTTTAGAGGCGGACTAACAGGTCTTTGAGGGACAGAATTGTTGCTGATTGGCACATGTTCAAATACGTATTTGCAGCAGTAACACACAAATAAATTATTAAAAAACCATACATTGTGATTTATTTATAAATGAGTTTCAGGTTGGAGGGAAAAGAGGAAAACCCACTTTCTACTTTCCTAATTTATTTATTGATGAAACTGTAATATAAAATAAATAGAAGCTGCACTGAATTTGTGTTTTGATGCTCTGCAGAGTTCTGCAT